CTCTGTATGTAATTACAGACAGGCAGGTGTGATTCTTGTACACATGACATGTTATGATGTCTGTTGATTGCAAAATGTTATACACAAAAAATGAGCATGTATTTACAACACCCAACATCTCTATACACACACAAAGAGCCCTGAGTGTATCGGCAAATGAACCAGCCAATGAAAGCCTTCATTACACTTAAGTGTATGCCCACTCGCTCTCACTGGGTTCGGTATCCTGGGTGCTTCGTTTCGTGGGAAGTAAACTCCAGTACAAATATTAGACTTTTGATTTGCGATTGTACACTTATAATTTTGTTTATTTGTTTTTTTCATAATCAGCAATGTATATTATATGTCATGAATAAGTGATAATTGTGTTTTAATTATGTTTGTTATTTTGGTTGCATGTGACCTTTAATAGACACATGACATGGAACAAGATTCTTTGTCAGCTGCAGATGAATGGCATATGGTTTATGTGGATATTGATGGATACATTCCTCAAACAAGGTAATAACCTGACGTTGCAATAACTTTAGTATAATTTTAATATTTGCATTTTGTTTTTATTCATTTGTTGTAACATTCAACAGAATCATTTTTTTCGTTGTGATGTGTAATGAGACAGACAACAAACACTAGGTCGCACTTTGGGTGCAATGTATAAAATGTCTAGATACTACAGTCATGTTATAAATACGCTATAAATATAAGTAGATCTTGTGCTTTTTATTATGTAATGCATACAAATATTATAATAAACTAATTAGGATTATGAGACAAAATATAAAGACTTCGCTATTTTTCAGTCCCAACATTTTTTACCTCGGGCAGATGGTTAGGGGTGCAACCATGCAGGTGGGCCACGATACGATACATATCTCGATACTGCTGCCACGATTCGATACGAATCGCGATACACAAAATAAAAAGAATAACAAAATATCAGCATACAACTTTTATTTGAATTGAAGAAGAAATCTTCAATCAGAGTTAGTAAGCTGTTCCAATACTCTTGTACCTGAAAACAATTACTTTTGTTTTAAAATTAAAAGTAAACACAAATCTGTTACTGTAATAGCAGTCAGCTATCTGGATATTCTGAAATAAACTTTGACACTTTCAAGGAGTCTGAAAATCTGACTAACACAACATTGTCAAACAGACAAATGGTTACACACTCTTTTTCAGTGTGCTTCATGCATCATAATTCTGTTATAATTACAGTTTCATATTTTTTTTTAGGAAAATCAGAACATCAACATTTTCAGCTGAAAGTGAAGCACGTTGAGCAGTGACAATATCCCCAGCTGAGGAAAATACTCTCTCGCTGGGGACTGAAGTAGCACACACTCCTAGGTACTGCTTCACAAGACCGGCAAGGGCTTGGAATCTGACTGCGTTCATCTTCCACCAAAGCAGGGGGTTTTCAGTTAATGGAATACATTCCTCAAGCTTGTATTTCTGCACCTCTTCCTCAATGGAAGCAGAAAGTGGCTTTGCCTCTTGCACATGTGTAATGAACACCTCCCCAAATATCTCCTCAATTGCACTTTTGGTTTTCTTAGGTTGTGATGGGCCTGGTGTCTCACAGTCAGAAACAGAGTCTGCAGTGCAAGTCTGTGTCCTACCAGTCTCAGACTGAGTCTCAGTGTCATGACACTCAGGGGGCTGACTGTCGGTTTGAGGCAATACAGGTAGGGGGGGCTGTGCTATCGCTTCATCTGTGGGATGACTCGGTTCCTCCTTCACTCTCACTGGAGCCAGTTCATCCTGAAAGAAGAATTATAACAGTTCAACCGACAGCTAAAATGTCTAAAGTGATATTTGAAATGTAGCATGATTAATTGATCATAATACACTGTTGAAACGTTTTTACCATTCAGAATTTCAATCATTTTGTGTAATAAAAAAAAATATATATTCAGAAACAAATTAAGATGCAGTTTTGTTGTTTGAAACACCTTTTTCTGTGGAATTTTTGTTTTAAATGTTTAAAGCATTAATTAATTACATTAACAGTATTTTAATTATTCAATTGTTGAACTGTTTATTTACCTTGTTTGCTTCTGCCATCTTGATCGCATTCATGGTCAGGGCACTGAATACAAGAAGCCGGTTGGCTTCATTGTGGTAGGGTAGTGATCGAAACCTGGGGTCAAGGGCAATTGCTTCCTGTAGAAATTTGTTGATGTCAGTCTCAGTATATCTGGTCTTCAGATCTTTGACAATTGCCGACTTCACAGACTTGACAAGTCCAGAATCACTTTCAGTGACAGCCATGGATTTCAGAATAAGCTCCTTTAATGGTAGAATCAAGGAAACTGTGGGCACTTTCTCTGAACAGAGGATTGTTGTTATTGTCTTCAATGGTCGAAGAACATTTACCGCATCTTCTACTGCTCTGACATCTTCCTCTGACAGAGTAACAAGGGTGTCTGCATTTTTCCTGATATCCTTCACTGTGAGAGTGGCAAAGATTGCAGCTTGCTGCTCGAGATATCGCTGAAGCATGTCGTAGCTAGAATTCCATCTCGTAGGAACATCTTGGATCAGTTTGTGATCGGGCAATTCAAGAAGTAACTGTTTTGACCTGAGAACTGATGCAGCATGTGAGCTTCTGTGAAAGAATGAAACTATTCTTCTCACTCTCCCCAAAATTCTGGACATCTCGCGGCACCTGCATGGCTTTTGGCTTGCTATGTTAATTGTGTGCATAAAGCACCTTATATGAGGTGCAAATCTCGACTGCTTTACAGCACTAACAATATTGCTAGCATTATCTGTGCTAATGGCAATCTGAGAAAATTTGCCTAAGTTCCATTAAATTCGACAGCTGATTCCAGGACATTAGCCAGGTTTGCCCCAGTGTGGCTCTCATGTAATGTTCGTGTTTGAAGTACCTGATTTTCAAGTTGCCAGTCTTCGTTAACATAGTGAGCCGTGATGGTAATATAGCTCTCGTGGAGCGTGAGGTCCAACCATCAGTAGTGACAGCCATTGATGACGACGAGCAATACTTTCCATCACACTTGATTTTACTTTCTTGTACATTTCAGGTATCACATAATTCGTGAAGTGGGTTCTCGATGGGATTTCATATCTCGGTTCAAGTGTGTGGATGAGGTACTTGAAACCGATGTTCTCTACAACTGAATAAGGTCGCATGTCCATCATAATGAATGTACCAATTCCATTTGTTATTGCTTGCGCCCGTGTCGAACGAGACGACAGTTTGGTCTTGAAAGCCTCACTAAGTCTTAGTTGACCTGCTAACGATGTCGCGTTTCTTATCGTCAGAAATGTTCAAAGGTTTTGAACATTTTGATTGTCCATAATCATTGCAATCAATATCGGGTGATGTCGCCCGAAGATGTGTGGACATGTTAGTTGTGCTCTCCCGTGTACCTGATTCGCAGGTAACACAGACGACAGACGGTCTCATCTTTTTTAACAAGTTTCTTACCGTCAATGTATTCAATTGGAAAACCAAATGCTTGCCAAACAGAAGATCTGAATGAAGCCGGGGGTTTTTCGACTTCACATTTGATTTCGCTGCTTACCAGTCCGTCTTCAGACATTGTTTTGACAGCTCAAAAAGCACATGGCATCTGACCGTGAACTTGAGCTTGACATTCGCAGTAATGCAATCTGATTGGTCATTCATTTTACTGGCCACCAATGAACAAACAGCATGGCTGTGTACTTTCGTTTTCCTGGAAAGGTGTGTTTGTGTGAAGTGTTTCGAGTCATGGTTTCATGCAGAACATTTTATTATTAACAATTTTTGTCAAATTATTAATAACACAAGCTTTATTGATTGCTATGAAAAGAAGTATATCCCAATGATAGGTATGCTTTATCGTTTGATGGAAAATATTTATGATCATAAACGTTTTGTCACTGAAAAAAAGGCTGGATATTTTCGGAACGTATAGTAAAAACATTTGAGCGAATACAGCAGTTTTGTGTCGAACGTCGATCTAACTTGTACAACAGAGACAAATATAGACACTCTCAGGTAAGATGCGTTTATTCAATTCAATGTTCACAACACGGACGCTATATTATGTGAACAAGATCATTTACTGTAATTGACAGCACACAAAACACTGTTTACAGTTTTGTATCGTAGTGTATCGATTCACGGGCAAAAATGTATCGCGTATCGTATCGTATGCCATAGATTGCGATGCACCGGTGTACCGGTGTATCGTTGCACCCTTACAGATGGTTAAACTTCAAAATATTTTCATTTGTTATCACAATAATGAGGATGGAAATATTATCAAGTGTAAAAAATCTCATCTTTGTTGATCAATCTATACTTATGCTATCAATTGCGCATGTGGGTGGCACAGCAGAGGTCACGAACGAGTCATGAATTCTGGGATATCACCTGGGTACTCACGGGAGAAAAACAATAACAAAAGCAACAACCAGTCCACGGAAATTGCTCTGGATCAGGGCCCCTTTAACATTGTTGAAGTCTAAACGATTTGATAAATTATTCTAGACTAATATATGTAAACAATCAATGAAGTATAACTGCAAGCTAAAGGTTTATAAGCACCTACAATGCACATATGATTTAATTTGTCGTTTAGTGTATCCAGTTCTTGTGTATTTTGTTTAAATGATATATGTACTGGTGAGGTATTGATATAAGCAAAGTTCTGCTTGTTTACCAAACCAAATTTTTTTTAAATTTCTTGAGTTCCCTAAACTTGAGTGATGGTTAGACTTCCGCCCGTAGGGATCCCCCTAAATGATGAGGAAAAAGGTATATTATATATAATTCAGGTAATCATATTTAAATTCAAGGGGGGATACTGGCAGAAGTCTTTCCTGAGCGATGACTCATGAGTCAAAACCGGCCGAATAACCGCCCCAAAATAGCTCATGCACGTCTAAATGTTACCTACGTTTGTATCAGGAGTGAGAAGGCAGCACACCTGGGCGGGGAGAGTCTCATTATTTGATGATGTAAGCAATAATTAACACCATACCTATCGTCGTAGGCGAAGTCTGCATCAAGGGTGTTGAGGTAGAGACACAGGGAAACGAGACAAGCTGCTAATACTGGATAATCCATGTTCTGTCTTCGCCGTAACGTTCTGCCATATCGAGATTATTTACTTCAATGAAAATTGACGCCAAGCGCATGCGCAGACACTGAAGTGTTGATCAAAGCATTTCGTTAGCCGAGCCGGTTTCAGACAAGCACAAAACACGCATGATTGTGTGTGTGTGTGTAAGACTAGACAGTGGAGTAGCCATTTGTAGACTTGAAATCCACTTCAATTAGACACATGATATTGCATTTCAGTCCACATTTCGTGCTGTGACGATCAGAAAATGCCAACGGATCGTATAAATATAGAAATGTAAGCCCCGCTTATATGAATTGATTTTTTACTGGTAAAATTGCTCGATATCTACAGTATCCTCTTCAGTGAGAGGGAAATTATCAGGTGTAGTGAACATATACCAAAAGAAGTCAACATGATTTTATTTGTTAACGATGTCACAAAGTCTTCATCGGAGCATTTCGTATCAATTTCAGGATTGGATACCTGCAGGTATGCTGAAAAACGTAATTTGTATGACTGAAGAGGACGTGCACACGAGCCGCCGAATGCCTTTACAGCCCCCTTCCCCTTTCAAAATAACTTCCTGAATATCAGAGACTCTCCATCAATAGGAATAAATAATTCAAGAACTTGACTGCACCAGATACCATATATGGTCTCTGATTGCACAAGTGATTCCTGTGGGTTAGATCACAAAGTTCTGTCCATGAATAACTCAAAGTATGCTTGTCTTTCAGAATGTTCCGCTGCATATTATTCACGTTCGTTGTTGTGATAAATTAATATACTGAGACACTGCGCGAGTGGGAATAGTTTTACGCCGTCTTTAGCAATACCAGGTCAAGGACATCGTAAATGAGCAGGACAAAAGCCACCTTGGACAAAAGCCACAGAGTTATTTTACCATTACAGAGAGGACAGTTACCACCCTCACTGACTTTAATGATTTTTAAAAATTAAATAATTTAAATTTTAAAAATCATTAAAGTCAGTGAGGGTGGTAATTATTATATAAAGTGTTTAATTAAAAAAGAATTTGTTTTTGGTTTTACAAAAGGTTGACTTTGATTAAAAGAAATGTTGATTTTCATGTTAAATTATGTTGATTTTGATGTAAAATTTGGATTTCATAGTAATGTTGACGTTATAAAAATGTTAATGTAAATGGATGTAAAATTTGATTTAAGAAATAGTTTGACCTTGAATTTGGCGAGAAGCCTATAGCTATTAGCATTGTTTTGAAAGTAAGGCTAACAAGGTTACTTTTACTTAGTTGAATAAGAATAGACTAAATGAACACATTTATCAAGCTACAACTGGCTTCTGGGCTTATGAAGCTGCACTGTCAAAACAAAAGGAATAAAGTCCTGTATATAGAATTTGATAGAGAGTTAGATACTATTTCTCACTTAAACTGTACAATGGTAGAGCTTCAGAGAGTAGAGTATATTTCTTCTCAGGCCGGAGGTCAGCAAGTTCTCTGCCACACACTGGAAATGCTTCATTTCTAACTGAAATGTGAGAAATGTATCTCCGCACAGTCACCCCAAGATAGAAGATGCTGAGAGTCTCCGCTTCATGAGCAAGTTAAGAAACCGTCTCAATTAAACAAATCACTGAGAAAAGCACATCCCAATGTCTTGGAATTCATCTCTCATGAACAAGGCATTGGGGATGCTAACAGAAAGAAAAGAGCCTAACTAGATCTTGGTGCAGCTCCAGTGCGCAGAAAACGGGTGTATAGACTTGTTAGGAGGTCGCAAAACCAAGCTACAGTTCCTTGATGCTGCAAGCCACCTCCTCAAGCTCAATCTTTAATGAACTATACTGTAAGCCATTAAAAACGCATTGGTATTTGTTGTCCTGAAACTCACAAAAGTTCTATTGAAGATTTTTGCCTGCGATACAGAGGATGTAGGGATAAAAGGCTGTTATTCTGGCCCATTTCGAGTTCGAGTCCCGGAGCATTCCTCTCACATGAACTTTGATACTTAAAACTAAACCTTTGACATTTCTCGTAAATACAACCACATTCATGAAACACGTTGTGCACATGCATTACCTGCACCCAGGCCCTGTAAAAGCACAAGGAATTGTGGAACTCAATCACTTTGAGAAAATGCCACACTTGATACAAGACGAAAGGAATCAGGTTATCGGTATGGTCAGCCAAGGTGCTTCAGATGTGATGATTGCCAGGCACTTTAATGTGCATCCATCCACTGTAAGTCGACTCAGACAACGTTTTCGGGCTACCGGAACTGTTGCTGATCGTCCGCGACCTGGTGCACCACCTGTGATAACAGCTCGACAAAACCTCACTATCCGAGTTTCACACTTGCGAAATCGGTTCCAAACAGCTGATGATGAGGCAAGGAGGACAATTGGGACAAGTCAACTTCATTTCAGCGCCCAAAAGGTGCAAGGACACCTTGCTGCCTTCAACATCCGGTGTCGTACCCGTACCGTGGTCCAACCTTATTGCATCGCCACAGACTTGCCAGACAGCGATGGGCAGCAAATGGGGCCACTCTTGGCAACAGGACATGGCCAGATGTCATTTTGTCAGATGAATCCAGGTTTAACTTATCCTTTGCAGATGGACGTCCACAGATTTATCGACGTAAAGGAGAAAGACTTGCGCCAAACTGTGCCCTTGAACATGATCGTTTTGGAGGGGGTAGTGTCATGATCAGACCACAGACCATCCAACAGCTGTTCCTGAGAAATGTGTGTCTTTCAATGCGCCAAAGACTGCGAGCATGTCTTGCAGCGCACGGTGGACACACACGATATTGACTGCAAGTGACCCCTCCTTTGTTTGATGTCGTTGTTGCATCACTGATGTTGTTGTTGACTGAACATTTTCAGAAGAAATTATTCACAGATGTTCACTTAAAACATATCTGCCAGTTAGGTTTATATATGTTGAAATTGGTATGAGTACAGAAAGTATGAATGTCAAATTGCGTTTTTAATGGCTTACAGTATATATTTTGTGTAGAGATGATGGATATAAAAAGTGTAAAAATAATGCTATGTTTGGTGCTATTATTATCATCTTAATAAATGATGCACTCTGAATGTTGTTCTTTTTATATGTTACTTAATTGGATCATACCATGTAGACATGGGGATGATGAATGTTTTCAATTTCCACCGCCAATGTGGGAACACTCCCTATACCGCCTAAGTAAAGACCGCTTAACTAAACAGACCTGATAAGTAAACCCTTTTCTTTGGTCCCGGCAAATTTCTTCATAAATTATCACTATTAGAGTCTGGTTAACTAAACTCGGATAAGTAAACAATACCGCTTAACTAAACGTCTTCTCACGGTCCCTGGAAGTAAATTACTTAACAAAAGAGACTGGATAACTAAATTAGTGATTACCACATAATCCGACATGAGGGGCACGTGTCAGTCTCCAGCTAAACAAACATCCTACGTACAGCTCGCTGGTGTCATGCAGTTGACAGTACACTGACAGCTGGAGGCCAGCCCTGATAAGTGGTCCATTGTTACATATGCATACATATACATGCATATGGTTGTCATTTGCAGGTTTTTATCAGTTTGGATAAGTAAAATACCTGATAAGTAAACAATTTTGGCGAGTCCCTTGAAATTTTACTTATCAGGTTTCCACTGTATATGGTTTTAGGACTGTAGGCAGAATGTCATGTAGGCACAATGTGAATGAACCGCCTTATGAAGTTGCATTAACATGAGATGTTTTCCTTGATTGGCATTCTAGAAGTATGGTAGATGAAAGGATGAGGACTATTTTTATGGATATACAACTTTTTATTCTGTATAGGCGACGTTTCGACATAGATTCTAATGTCTAATGTCATCACTTGCTTGACAACGACATTAAAATCTATGTCGAAACGTTGCCTATACAGAATAAAGAAGTTGTATATCCATAAAAATAGTCCTCATCCTTTCATGAGATGTTTTGATAAGATGTAAGTACGGAGGATTAATTTAAAAGATTCTATGTATAAAATTGTTTAATCCTTTTGAAATTAAACAAACTCAAATTTTATCATGCAAATATATCTGGGAAACATGATATTGTGTTGGTGGTTTTATTTTTATTTGGGTGGCCTTTGTCCTAGGGGGCTTTTGTCCTAGACCCAATCATACCCTTGTGGGTACGGGTCTACTGCGTGGCGAACGCTTTAAAGGGACAATGATCCAGAGCAATTTACGTGGACTGGCTGTTGCGTTTGTCATTGTTGTTCTCCCGAGACTACCTGGATGATATCAATAATAATACAGTTTATACCGAAGAAGCGCAGAGTTTCTCTCTTCCACTGGGATTCCAGCTGTTCAGTCCTCTGTGTTAACGCCGCGTTTGCGTCTGTGAGTTTGTCCATCTCTCGCCACATGTCGCTCTGCTCATCACGATGTAGTGATGTTTCGAAATTAGTACACCTCGCGTTCAAGGATTTTAATTGCTCTTTATACCTCGCAGAATATCTCCATGCTCGCTGTTGTTACCTTGCACACCTGTGTGTCTCAAACCTGAAGTTGACACAGCCAGCTGACTCTGTCGCGTGGTCCTCGGGCCCGGGTTACGCTCCACATTACCGCTCAGTAGGAGAAGAAGTGACGCAACTAACAACATCTGCAGTTGTCGAGATAATAGACCCCCACACAGTTTAATACCGTGCATTAACTCACTTTTACTCCCTTTCGGCTGGGTGAAACGCGCTATACGCGCGCGCCACAATTCAATATTTATCCACATGTTGCACAGCACGTCTTGCCGTCGCCATTACACCTGTATTATATTTTCTTGTAGAAATATATACTCTGCAAAAAAAGAAACGCACAGGTGATAATGAAATTTAAAATTAACTTTATTTTATTTCTATGCAAACAAAACCCGGTTACTTTAACCAAACATAATGTATACTTGTTCATATCCATTAAGTATCGCTCAAACACACCATTTCATGAAATATTGTTGTTTGATGATGGTTTTTGAAAATATCATGAAATTTTCACGTGTAAATGACACTTCGAACGATATGC